AATGAGGATTCTCACCATGGGGAGGCAGAGAAGGGTCGACTATGGGGATCAACCGTGACTCTGGAAGTCGTGATTGGGGGTGCCCCTGTCCCAGAGGAGCCCTTGGGGGTGCCGAACTTCAACAGTCACTTCCCAGGTTCCAAAGGGACATTTAAGTCAACCATGAAGGGGAAACTCACCAAATCAAAGGCCGGTGTTGAGCGAGAAGATGAGTGACCAGGAAAATGGATGGTGAGCCCGTGGAGGAGGATTGGGCAGTGAAGGTTCCCAAAGCAGCTCAGGTTCCCGGAGGAAGAGCAAAGTCAATGGGAGAGCCTCATCCGAGTCACAGCACCAATTAAAGGGTATCGCGCCGTGACCCTCCTTACCCAGAACGACTCAGGAGACATGGGCCCATGCAAGAGACTTTATTATCTGAAGGAGAGAGTGGCTGCCCCAGAGTGGGGGTGGGGAGAGAGAGAGGGAGCAGCAGAGAGAGCAGTGGGACAGAGAGAGCAGAGAGGGAGAGAGAGAGACAGAGAGAGGGAGCAGCGGCATGGTGCAGAGAGTGGTGCCTTTTATTGTGGCGGATCCACTCTGCCTGTTGCCTTGGGGGAGGGTCGGGATGTTTAGAGATAAGGCGGGGTAAACCCGGGCAAGCCCAGGCATAATTCTCACCACCTTATGTGCTTGGGACCATGGGAAAATGGAGGATAAATTACTATTTTCTTATAGTAGTGACATCTGCTTACTGCTCTTCAAAATTGCTGTAAGAATCCAGTGTGATACTATATCCAAATAATCTGAGAAGTATAAAGTATTACTCAATATAATAATTATATTACTCAGATTGAAAGATGTGATGCAAATTACACACTTTATTGACTGAGTCAACTAGAAAGATCATGTCATCTTTAGTTGTTTATGCAAACTCTTTGAGAAATACAGGTTTATAAGGCAATGCAATTTTAAAAAGGTAAACAAATGAAATTACCCTGCCTTCTGCTCTTATAACTTCTCCAAATGCTTCATTTCAAATCAAATTAGCATGTGTGCATAAGAAAAATTGTTCTAGGAATTTGTCTTTTTAGGGTGACAGAATTCATGTATACCAAATTATATTTTTCTGACACAAAATTAAATATTCTTAACATTTTTATCACGTGCTTACTATGTATCAGGTGTTACAGTAAGAATTAAAGATAGAAACACAAATGAATGATACCTGCCTTGGAAGAGCAGTATTATCTCACTTGAGTGTTTAAAATTAAAAACAAAACTGGACATCTTAAAAGAATGTTTATGTGACAGAAGTAATAGTGGTATGCCACATTCATTTAATTTTAATTAATATTTCTTATTGAACGGTAGCCATCACTTACTGAGTGCCTACTCTGAACAATGTGCTAAGTGCTTTATGCTCTTATGCTCAAATTATGGGTAAAGAAACTAACACTAAGAGAAGCAACTCATTGAGTTCATACATCTGGTAACTGGAATTTGACTGAGGGGGGTGCTCTGCACTATTTGGCTGCACTACCTCAACAAAAGGCATTTGTGTAAATGCACATTTAGAACTAAATATATAGACCATGGTGTATAATGGAACAGATTTGGGATATTCAACTGACCAAATTACTTGTGAATAGTAAAGCTTTGTGGTGGTTAATTTTATGTGTCAACTTGATGGTTAATTTTATGTGTGGCCAGGTGGTGCCAAGATATTTGGTCAAAGTTTATTCTGGGCATGTCTGTGAGGGTGTTTCAGGATGAGACTGACATTTAAATGGATTAGACTGAAGAAAAACAGATTGACCTCCCTAATATGGATGGGACTCATCCAAACAGTTAGAAACCTGAATAGAGCAAAAGGCTGACTCTCCTGCAGGTGAGGGAGGATTTTTTCCTGTCTGACTGGCTTCAAAATTGGCAATTCCTGTTTTCCAACTAGAACTGAACCATTAGTTCTTCGTGATTCTCAGGCCTTCAGACTTGGACTCAAACTACACCACTGGTTCTTCTGGGACTCTAGTTTGCTGACTCACCCTGCAGATCTTGGGACTTGTCAGCCTCCAAAATTGCAAGCCAATTCCTTAAGAGCAATCAATCAGTCTCTCTCAATGCACGCACACACACACACACACACACACACACACACACACACACACACACATTCTATTGATTCTGTTTGTCTGGAGAGCCTTGATGAGTACAAGCTTCCTAAGAAAATTTCCAAAAATCCAAGGAGAATGGAAAAATAATTATTCTGTAACATTTTGCAGTTTGTGTCTAAATAAGGTAAAAATAAATGGTTTGTTCCAGACATGACTGTCACTTTCTAGTGGTTGGACCTTGAGTAATTCACTTACTCTATCTGAGACTCATTAATTCATTCACTCATTCATTCATCAAATACCTGAAGAATTTCTCCTCTATGCCAGGCTCTGGAAATATTGTGTTAGGCACTGAAGATACCAGGGTGGATAAAATGAAAACCCCACACTTGAAAAATTCGGTAGAGTTAAGAGCTGGAGGCATTTGACAGAACTCACGTTCAAAGTCAAGGGTGGTAAATATTGAGTCATCAAGCTTCTTTATCTCCTCCTCTACCCATATACAAACCCTCTACTGCTGGCATTGCTAGTACCCTATCTTCTTGCACATTTTGAACTCTGAAACTGTCTAAGCTATCGTCTCCCTTTGAGGGATGCCTTTATGGAATATACTGTCTTTCCTGATTATATCCCATTACCTTTTCAAAGGTCTTTTCAATTGCCTCAGCCTGCCAAGATCTTCTTCTTCTACTCTAAATTCCCAAAGATTTTACTTTCTATGCTGTATCAAATATGAGCTGCTATTTATCCTTGCATGTAATATTCTAGTTGTTAAACTTCTAAAAGCAGGCTATAGTCTTGTACTTCTTTGTTTCATTCAATACAGTAAGAATTTCTTGGGTAACAATAATGATATTCTACTGTTGACCCAGTAAGAGAAACTGGGAAATCACTTCCTTTCATTATCCTGGTTTTTCATGAGGTACACGATGAAGAAAATACTTGATAATACAAAATATTTTTGGTTTCCAAGCAGGAAAAAAAGACCATATCAAATAAGGTACAAATACGATAGTTTGCTTATAATCCCATTATGACAATAAGGAAATGAATCAGCATTTATTACTGAGATTAAATATCTTCTGTTTGTGACAGATGCAACTTAAATATACAATCTGCAGTTGAAATTTCTTGATATGCAGTTAAGGAACTGAGCTTGCTAAAAAAAGGACAGCGCTGACAGGGTCATTTTAATTTGTGGAGGTAGAGCGGAAAAGTGATTATAAATCATACTCAGATTCAAACCATGCTGTTTTATGAGCCTATTAGAACTGCACAAACTGGACACATTAGCCTTCCAGTCTCAGTTTCTCATCTTAGAAATTCATAAATTAGTGATTTATTCTCTATCTCTTGGTATAAATTGAAAAGGGTACTCCTCACAAAAGAATATTTCTGACTGTCAAGAAATTGTAACTTCATTAATACCTAACCTCATAGGATTACTGTGAAGAATAAAATGAGTTATGATGCAAAATACCAGTACTTTAAGTGACACTTAGTAATTGTGAAATAAGTGGTACCTGCTGTTATAAAGGGACAACAGGTCTAAAAGAGAGTCACTTGCGCTAAGCCCCATGTCAGCAAACCAAGATTTACTACCTAATCTAATTGTACTTTCAACCTCTCCCAGGAATATAATCTTAAACCAGTTGGTCTGGAATTCCCTCTCAACAGTAATGAGGTAATCTGCCTGATAGAGCCCTTCCAACCCCCAAAGAAAGATGAGGTAATCTGCTCTTTGCTTTACCCTGCCCCTTCTGCCTATAAAAGTCCCCCATTTTGTTCAGTTCTTTGGAGCTTTCTATTTGCTAGATGGGATGCTGCCCAATCCATGAATTACTGAATAAAGCCAATTTGATCAAATGGCCAGAAAGCTTGTATGTGGCTAGTCACACCAAGTTCTTTATACTGTTTCTGCTTTACTCCTACTTGGTCAAAATCTCTGTTGATATGTTTTTCCTGTGTCTTGGAGGAGTTTATAATCTAACTTTTCCAAAATAGGTTAGAAGTTCGTCTCTCATTCATGCTTTATATAAATGCTTTTTCTTTATATCACTTACATTCCTCATAGGGATAGTTGATCTCAAGCATTGTTTCAAGGATAGGATTATAGTTCAAAAAAAAAAACTCAATCAGGGGTCTCTGTTCTACTTTAAGTTCCAGGATGATGTGCAAAATTCTATTTAAATAGCTACATTGTTCCTAGCCATAAGGCATTAGCAGCAGGATTTAAATTAACAATTCACAGTGAAGAATAAAAAGGAAGTGTGAAAAATGTGTTCGTGACCATAAATATAAAGGATATATTCAAGATTTGGCCTGAACCAAAGGTAAATGAATAAGCGTCTCTGTGGTTGAGCTACATCTTCTAAATGTTCTAGAATAGTAAAATACAGATCCCATAGCAGATGGACACTAGAGAATGGAAATGTCTGGGTAGATATGTAACATTTATTTCAAGTAATCACAACAGAAAACATACTAAATACGTGAGTACTGTGTATGGGCATGATTGGGAGACGGAGCAATGCTTCAGAGCTATACAGTGGGGAAAACTGCCAGGGTTGGCCCAGAGAACCTGGAGCTCAACTCAAACTGGATCTTTTAATACCAAATTACTGTAACTGAGTTTCAGTTTTAAAAAAGGGAAATAACCTCACAGACTGGTGAACACTTAAATGACTTAGGTTATAAATTAGGACAAGTGCCTAGTAAAGAACAATCAAGAAGAGATAGTTTCCCATTTTTATTGCCATGAGATTGAAAAGCTACCTGAGAAGCAGTGATGACGTCAAGCTAATTTTTGTGCTTGTTGAGTTACTAGAAGAGTATGTGTTTGTGTCACACAATACAGCTATCATCAAAAACAAAAAAAGACTGGGGAAACAGCAGAGGGTTTGAAACATGGCGGATGACGTAGGCCAGCAACAAACTACCAATACTGTAGAAAAGCCCCTGGATCTCATCAGGCTCAGCCTGGATGAGCGCATTTATGTGAAAATGAGAAATGACAGGAAGCTTCGAGGCAGATTACATGCTTATGAACAACATTTAAATATGATATTGGGCAATGTGGAAGAAATTGTGACTACTATAAAAATTAATGAAGAAACATATGAAGAGATACATAAATCGACAGAACGGAATATTCCCATGCTCTTTGTCCGGGCAGATGGTGTTGTACTAGTTGCCCCTCCATTGAGAGTTGGCTGAAACAAAGAATTTGCCCTGTGTGCAATATAGGATACTTTGTATGATTGCCTCTTTAAATGTAGAAGATACTCAAAAAGAGAAACCTGCATTAATTTTGATATTAAGATGACCAAGGATCCCTCCACTCCTGAAAGGAGTTGATTTGTACATAACTCACAAATTCTTAAGATAAATGGTATTTTTATTTTTCTCCAACCCTTTCAATAAATGTGACCAAGATGCAAAAAAAAAACCAAAGAAAAAAGACAGGAAAATACATAAATTGGCATTTGTTGTTTTAATTGTGTTGACTTCGCCATTCACCAAAGTCTGTTTCTCATTTCTCCATCTTACTATCATTTACCTTCCTTGGTAATTAGAACAATTCTGATTTGAGGAAAAACACTAGACATTTTTGTGGTCAAATTAGCTAAACTAATGTTGAAGAAATATTTATATTAATAGAATGAAACAATGGAATTACAGTTTAATTTTTTCTTAAGGGAAGCTTATTTATTGCAAGAGATCTCATTGGGTTTTTCAGTTGTTTTGTTTTGTTTTGGTTTTGAGTGAAAAGTTTCTGCTACTCAGCCAAAACCTTAAGCTCTACAGAGGGCATTGGGAAGAGAGTTGATGGTTTGAATCCATGTATTGACTATCCTCCCCAACACCTTTTAATGCTGTCTCAAATGTGGCTTATTTATTATCAAGGAAACTCTTACTTTTTTAACTGATATTCACCACCAAAAATACATTATTTAATAATATTAAGCAGCAAATGGCTGCAAGACTAGGTCAGTTTAAACCTTTTTCAAATTTATTGCCAGAATTCTAGATAGAATGACATAGCTAGGAGTCACTATTTTGACAGTCACTGTTTTGACAGTCACTATAATGGGGTATGTGGTGGGGACTTGATAATGGGGGGAATCTAGTAACCACAATGTTGCTCATGTGATTTTATATTAATGATACCAAATTTTTAAAAATGACATCTAAAATTTTTTTATTTAATATTAAATATTATTTAATATTAAATTTAATTAAAAAGTTTTGATTAATATTAACGTTAAACTATTTCAATTCAATTTCCTCTTCCACTAGTTCTAGTTATATGTTTTTGTCTCAGTTATTAATTTCCCTTTCCCTCATTTTCTTTGCCTATAAAATGAGAAGCATTATAATAATCGTATTGCTTCATAGTTTGTGGTAAGGATTGAGTTAATACATAAAAAGCTCAGAACAGTGTCTACAACAGAGTAAATGTTCAATAGTATTACCTACAAATGTTACCAGATCAAATGGAGATTTTAGTACTATCAAATTGAATAGTAAAAATTGGTCAAATTTTATAGGAGAGACATTACAAATCAGCTAATACACTGAATTTCAAACTTTTTATTGTAATCTACAGTGAAAAAATATATTTTACATCATGACTCAGTATGTACACATATATAAGGGAAACAAGAGTTTGGCAAAATAGTACTTATTATATGTAATACCCTCTGATACTTGTGTTTTTTAAAATGCTGGCTGCCATATACTCAATCGATTTTGCTACTCACTAAGAAATTGCAACCCACAGTGTGAAAAACATTGATCTAATAAAATCCCTTCACTTTACAGTAGAGAAAACTTGAAATTTTAGGAACATGGGAAACTTAAAATTACATAATTAGAAAGTGTGATACACCACATTAATAGAATGAAGAATAAAAAATTTTGTTATCTTCTCAGTAGATGCAGAGATAGTATTTGACAAAATTGACCATCCTTTCATGATAAAAGCTCTCAACAAATTAAGCATTGAAGAAACATACCTCAACATAATAAAGGTCATATATAACAAATCCACAGCTAACATCAGACTCCTGGTGAAAAGCTGAGAGCTTTTCCTCTAAGATCAGGAATGAGACAAAAATGCCCACTCTTACAACTCGTATTCAACATAGTACAGGCAGTCTTAGAGCAAATAGGCAAGAAAAAGAAAGAAATGTAATTTCTGATAGAAAGAATAGAAAACTTGAACAAATGACTATCCATTTAGAAGAAGAGAAAATTGGATCACTACTTCATATCTTACAATATCAAAAATATTCAAATGGACTACTTTTCATAAATGTAAAATAAAGTCACAAAAACACGAGAAAAAATTATATAAGCAATTTTAAGACTGACAATTTAAAAGAGACCAAAAAGAAGAGATTGATAAATTGACTAAAATATTTTTCTATTTCTTTGTATTAAAAGAAAATCCACAAATAAGTGGCACATGCAAACCTGGGAGAAATGTTGCCATTGTTTATGAAAAATAAAGATACTAAGTTTTCAAAATATAAAGAATACTTACAAATCCATAAAGAAAAGACAATCACACCTAAATGTAGAGTTCTAATTCACAAAATTAGAAATATGATTGGACAGTAAATTTTTGCAAGTCTTCAAGATAAATTTTTCTTTCTCCAGATAGTCAGCTGTTCCATCTTATTCTTTCCATTAGAAAATACTTAATAGTATTTATTCCCTTGTATTTATGTACTTTATATTTATTCCTTTGATCTACTCTAAGTAGCATAAATGATGATGGATATACTAACTTATCTTATTGTGGTAGTCATTTCACAATATACATATGTATCAAATCATGACATTGTCCACCTTAAGCTTATACAATGTTTCATATCAATTAAATTCCAATAAACCTTGGGGAAAAAAGATTACATAGCTACATAAAAGCATAACAATCTGAGACCAGAATTTTCTTTTAATCGAGATATAATGTACATATCATAAAATTCATCTTTTAAAGTATACAGTTCAGTGGTTTTTAGTTTATTCACAAAGTTGTGCAACCATGAGCACTCTCTAATTCCAGAATATTTTCATCACCCCCCAAAGAAACCCATACCCACTAGTGGTGGGACCAGAATTAAAATTTACTCATAGTCCAAAGATCTTCCCACTGTGGAGAGTTTCATATGGATTTTCAAACTGATTTATCTTAAAGTGTAATAAGTGTTTAGATGTCAAAATGACCAAACCTACTAAAAACTTATTAGGGCTTTGCATGTTTCTGTACCGTTAACCATCTCAAGATTTTATATGCATTTCTGTATTCTATGGGTTTTGTTTTGGAAATATCTACCAGATTCTTGAGGATATATTTTAAACACTTAGGAATGGATCCTATGCATTCTAAACAGACTCAGGAAATGCTTTGTTCTTTGGATGTATAGCTCATCATCTCAAAGGAAATGAGAGTGATGATTTTTTACAGAGAACATGTGAGACATGGAGCCTTTTACAAAAGGAGGATTTTTTTTTTCATTTCAAGGTTTTGAAATAAAATCCACAACTAGACAGTAGGTAGTTAAAAGGTCTATGGAGAATCTAAATATTTTCCTGAACAGGAGTTCAAATAAATTATCAAAGTGCCTAACCATAATATAAACCAAATTTCCCAGTCTGGTTTTCAAAACATTCCTAAAATCCTCCTATTTTATCTTGTTAGAATTAATTTTACATAAAATGAACATGAGTACCAATCTTCCATTTTATGCCAAAATTACCAGGTCTCTAAAAGAAAAATCTCTAAACTTAGTTACATTTGGATTATTTAAATAATGTCCTCTAAAGTATGAGTCAGTGTATACTCTTTGCTTCTTCAGTGCCTGGTTGTTGATTCTTTAGTAAACATAGTTTCAAGTATTCTTAAGGACTTAGGCCCATGCGAATTAATGACCTGAACTCAGGGCTCAAATAATTTTAAATAGATGAGTCCATTGTAAATAAAGGAAAATCATGGTAATGATAATAAACCTAAAAGATAATTTTAAAAAAATAGTGACTAGTTTGCTTAAGCAAAACAAAAATTTTTTTAAAACCAAATTAGGTATAGACTGTAAAAACTGATTTTATTCATCTTTAGTGAAAATTTCATAAAGAGAATTATGCATTTTCAGTTTAATTTGACATGATATTAATTCCTTTTTATCTGAAAAAAAACCCACTAAAATCTTTGGAAAGTCTATCAATATTTACATTCCTTGGATTTCAGTACAAAGTATACTGCCATTAATCTCCAGGTCTCCAAGTTAGTAAACTCATAAGATCTTTCTTTACAATATAAACTGAAATATACAGAATTTATCATGAGATATTCTATAAATGTTTTAAATGAATGGATAAGCTAATTTTAAAAATACTAAACTACCTTTCATAGTGTTGGACTGTTAACTATTTATTGAGTTATAGTTACCATGGAAAGAACTACAATTACTTTTTTAATGGGCAGATTAAATGTAAACCTTAACATTGACTTAAACTAGACAATTTGTATTTGGGAGGTAATTATTTTTGCTGTACGTAGTCATTTCATAGCTATTTGGTTGTCTGAAGACCATGCTTTAGGGGTGGTATCATTGGAAGACTGCCATTGGAAGAAGCCAAATACTAATCTCTAGAAAGTTAGACTTAATACATGTTGTTTTTCTGAATTGAATTCATTCTTTTTAGGCTAGTCTCACACTTTTTAAGTTTGCGCCCAACTGTTTCTTAGGGATACAAGATTACAAAATAATTTCCTATGAATTTGTAGGATTTCATGTATCTTATTTGTATAGTCCTAATTATAAAGACAATTTACCAATTTTAATTATTCCAGAATTTGGGGATATAAATGCTGTTTTCCATGACCACTGAAGCACTATTTAAAAATAATTTCTTTATTGCAATCACAATGACTGTCAGTAGAAGAGGTTTAGGAGCATATCTGCTTATGGGCTGTGTGTTGCTTAACCTCTGCAAGCTGGAGGAATCCAATCTGAAAATGGGGATAATACTACCAACCTCCAGGGTGATTATGAGGATTCAGTGAATGATGTAGGTGAAGCACCTGGCATATGGTGATGGCTCAATAAAAGATAGCCATTTTTGTCATCAATCCTAGTATCTGTATTACCAATCTCATTAATTTATTCACATGACCTAAAACATTTTGTCAAAGCATAGATCTTATTTGTTGTCTATGTTAGTCCAGTAGAAAGAAGAAATATTAAGTAGCTATTTCAAGTACTCAAAAGCTCTACTTATATGTCAAAGAAGCATAAATACACTTTGCCAGAGGATTACATTATGATTACTTCACAGAATAAGACCTGGTCAGATTTTAATTTGCTCAGAGACAAATGTGAAAAATAATGATCTATACTACTAAAAATATATAAAAAAAGGTTTACTTTTAAAAAGCGCATTAAAACAGGTTTTCAAAAGTATAGATTTATTCTAAAGGTATATTTTAAAAACCCAAGCACAATGTTAGCTTGCAAAATATCTAATAATACAAAGTTCCTTAACAGTCTTTATGTTTCATGGTCTGATGTTAGTTAAGAGATAAGAGCTTGCCTGATTTGTGGTTTCTTTTCCAAACCTTTGATGTGGGTAAACATTCTAACTTTAACTTCTTGCCTTCAAGCAAAGTTATGTTCTACTTTTCATAACCCATTTGCAAAGGTTTCCAGGAAGTAGCAATCTGGTAGCAATTTCAGTGTTTAAATTCAATGTCAGAGACACTGGCATATTATGACCACACATCAGCTTAATGTATCAGAAAAGTAAAGGCCAAACACTTGGTAATGACTACAGGAATTGCAAATATAGATTTTGGGAGGATATTACAAGCTTGTAGGGCAGAGATGTCAAATGGGTTTCAACATCTAACATCAATTTCAGGTGTTTGCTGCCTGAACTGTGCTGAGAAGGATTTTGAGGATGAAGTTACTGCTTTGGAAGAAAGAGTGTGTGCTATGCTGTGAGCAAGGGCTGTCCTGGGCAGAAGGAGGAACTGTCTTGCCAGCTATGTTCTAGGTTTGGGGTCTTAGACATGGCCCAAAGCAACTAGAGTCAGCATTGGGTCCTACAATATCTCATCCTTGCTTCTCACTCTGTTTCATCCTCTCTGAAAACTTGCTTCCCCACCCCACATCCAACCCTTGTGCACATAGCAGGAGATGTTGCCCTCCTAACACTTGAGTTTCTGACAGCAGTACAAGTAGCAGAGACTAACTAGTGGTTTGTATTTGCAAAGAACAGAGAAGGTTTGTGCTTAATTTAAGCAGAAAGAGAAGTTAATTTCTGAAGTTCAGCAAATGGACAGGAAGATTGGTGGGGCAGGCTCAGGCAGGAGCCAAGGAAGGCAGGGCAGAGTCCAGGTCCTGCCACAGGTATGGTCTGCTTAGGATGCAGGCAACATCAGCACCGGACACTAGCCCACTACTACTGGACTACCTAATCACTGTCTGCCATTGGACTCTCCATTCTACCACAGAGACCATGAATAGTCTGAGTCACCTTTGCATCACTCCCTCACAATTGAAAATTCCCAGATGGAGACCGGAAGCAGCAGGATATACTCCAGTTATTGGTACTGGATTGGTTCTCAGAGAAGAGGAACTTGGGGTAAGCAGACACCCTCAAAGGGTCTACTGCATGCTATCTATATTCTACTAGGTGGAAGGCACTTGAGAAAATGCCAAATACCTTCCAGCTTAGAAACTGCTGCCGCAGAACAGAGTGAGGAAGCAAGTTGAGAAGATGAAGGTTAGTTCTGGGTAAGGCTAACTAGGAATAGGCAGAGTGGGTACCAGGAAGAGCTAGAACTGATAATGGGGACTTTGCTGCCTGTAACAGGCCTGGGACGAAATTGCAGGACAACTAGAAAGAATTGAAGTCAGAGCAATAAACCAAGAGATGACCTCAAAGTAGATTCCAACAGCAAAGACTAGACTTCCAAAAAATAGTCCTGTACAGCAGGCACAGGGTGGAATTCTAAGGCTGTAGACCAGGTAGCCAAGAAGCAAGAAGTTGGAAGCTGGAGAGAGCAACAAAACAAAGCAAAATAGACCAGATTTGCTGAAGCTCATATAAGATTGCCGTTTGTTGTTACATGTCTTCACTTTTGGATGTGTCCTTACACTTCCAACGAACTGGTTCTCTTAGAGCAGTTTTAGCCAGGTGGAGAGGGCGAGGCCGAGGTGGTGGAGATAACTGAGTAGGCATGAGGAGATCCCAGCTTTGAATGCTTAGCAGGGGAAGCATTTTGAGGGCGGTGGTAACAGGGATGCTAGAGAGCACAGAACGGTGCATGCCGGCTGTGCAGGGCTCCAGGCTTTCTTCACCAGGAAGAGAAAGTCATCATCGCAGCCTCAGTGAGGGAAGCAGCACCAGATTACGGACAGCATAAAGGAGAGGTTTATTCTAAACACAAACATTTCCTGGCAAAATCGCGTGATCCAGGGTGAAACCAAGTATGTCCCAGATAAACTCCGAATCTTTTAAACTTTCAAATACTTGTATTAATAGAATGAAATAAATGATGCATTTCACTTTTGTATATTTCAGCATATTTCATTAATTTTGTTTGTTTCAAGCTTTCCCCTAGTTTTTTCATCCAGCAGATTCTCCCAGGGAACTCCAAGGCTTGGGTCCTCTATCACTCTTTACAGTACATAGGAGACCTCTATGCTGTGTGGGAGGGACACAGGAGTGACCTTCATTTGTCCATTTTCTTCTAAGTGAACAGATTCTCACTAACAGGCAATTTCTATTGTACCAAACTCAGCAAGACTTTAGAGTGTCTCACCTCGCTTTTTTTTGTTTTCTTGAGTTTTTTTTTTAACAGTGTTTTACACATCCCTGGAAATACATGAGCCACTAAGCATAAGACTGGAAACCCTCCACGTGGAAGCCTGACATTGCACGATGATTATTCCAAAAGAAAAAACAGGGAGTGAGGTGGTAAATCAGAACGATGGTAATGAGAAGAAAACTCAGTAAATTAACATAACACATATTTTGACATGCTGTCTCTTTTAAAACTCCATACAGAATATTTTTTTAAGCCACTTCACCTCTCAAACTGGAGTACACTAGTATTTTAGAATTGATTTTTCGAGTTGAGTTTACGACAACAAAAATGTCATCTGTTTTATTTAGAAAATAGCTCAAGAAATCTATTTCTAGTTTAAAAAAAAAGCTAAACATAAATCTACATGAAAATTTTAGTGCCCAAGGCAGTCAAGGGCAAATTGTTTTAGCAGCTAAATAAACACCGTTCCATGTTCTGTGCACTTTTTTATTAATGTGACTGCCTGTGTGCCTACCTTTGGTTCGGTTAATGGTAGGTGAAGAAAAAAAAAGCTTCTAACCCTTACATGTATTTCCTAAGTTCCTAGAATACCAGAATACTGACACATACGCTGTATTTGTTGAAGATGATAGTGAATTTTCGCTAAAAACCACAAAGGAAATCAACAGTTCTGATAGCCCCACCAAAGAGGAAATACAAAGAGGAAGTTACTGTAAAACTGGCAGGGCAGACAGGGTATCAGCAGAAGCGCCTCAGATTTTTGGCCCGTTCCAACACTGACTAACCCTTGTCTTTACCCCAATTCTTTCTGGATCCTCTCCCTTCTACTTTGGATTCAGAGTCTAGTTGAGGCTCCTCCACTCTGGGGGTCGCAGCCTCAGTTTCCCTCGCTGTCAAACAGGATTATAGTACATGTCCCAGGCCAGTCACCGGGACTTTGCCAGGATCATGTAAGAACGCGCTCTTCCAAGATAAGCCAAAGCCACCATTACTGGGAGAGTCGCCAACAGAACTCGGCTTCGGTTCCCGCTCTCGGCGAGGCTGGTCGACCTACAGTCAACAGGAAGTTCCTGGGGCTGGGACAGGATCCCTGGCTTCGGACGGCGGTCAGGGCAGTGATGAAGGTGTTAGGAACGTCCCCCTGGCTCACGCGGCCCGCCGGAGATTTTACTATCAACTACAAAGGGTGCGGAAGCATAGTACTGGGAAGCAAGCAGCTAACCACAAATGCTCAACCCTGTCCTCCCGCACAACGCACCGAAGCCCTCGGCACTGCAGAGAGGGGCAAGGGGAAGGAGAGCGCAGAGGGGCGTGAGCTGCGGCCCACACTCCATCGCCCCCCGCAGCTGCGGCCGCAATGTCTGCAGCAGGGCAGGGGCGCTGGGGCCCTGCTCTTCGCGTGCAGAAGCGCCTCCTCCTCGCGCCCCCTTGGCCAGCGCCGCCTCGGGAATCCGCCCCGGCCCCCCGCCGCCATGTTGAGTCGGGCCGCGTAGCTCAGACTCGCCACCGAGCCGGCCCGCGGGAGGACTGTCCGTAGCCCCCGGGCGTGCGCTGGCGCCGGAAGGCGGGGAGCGCTCGAGCCCGGGCGGGCACGGCGCGAGTTCCGGTGAGCGGCCCGGGCGCGCGCGCAGGTAGCCCCCGCCCCGCTCCCGCCTCCGCCCCCGCCCCCGCCCCCGGGGCGGAGCCGGGAGCGAGGCGGATGCCGCGCCGGGAGGAGGTGGAGAGTGAGCCCGAGGGGTGGGGAGCCCGGGAATTCCCTCCTCTTGAGGTAGCGAGTCCGGGGCCCACCGTGCCTTCGTCGCTGCCGCCGGGCGCTCTGGACGCGGAGGTGGAGGACGGAGAGGGCCCCGCGGGCCTCGCCTCCGCCCACCGCCCCCTCCCCGCTACCCGAGTTGCAGCCGCAGAGACTCATGCGAGCGCGGCTGGAGGGCAGGTAAGGACCCGGCGGGGCCCCTCGGGCGGAGGCGGTCGACCCCGGCCCTGGCAGCTCTAGGCCCCGGCGCCCGCTCGCCCCCGGAGTCGCCGCCGCTCTCCGCCCCCGCCGGCCCGGAGTCGGGAAGTTGGGGAGAAACTTCTCCCATCCCCCGGCCCGGCTCGCCCGGCGGGCGTGTCTCTTTCCCGGCGCTACCTGCCAGCCCCCGGCTCGGTCTCCGCCCCGTCCAGTCCTTCCCGGTCCCGCCCCAGGCTGATTTGGGGGCTCGGAACCTTGGAGCACCCCCACCCGCGTCTGTAAGGTCGTGCGGGCGCCCCGGCGAGGTAGGGACGAGGTTTATTTTGGCTCCCACGGCCGAAGTAGGGGGCTAATGCAGCGGCCCCATCCGGCCCAGCGGTGGGGGTGTCTGGGTGTGAGCTGACGGCGGGTGGCAACTGTCCGGGGAGAGCAGACGAGGGAGTGTGTAGGGTACGAGGGGGTGAGCCTGTCGCTTTACTTGGGTTGATTGAAAACCGCAACATGTTAAAGTTTTCCTTTGTTTTGGGTTGGGGGTTGGGAAATATGCCATTCGGCGGCCACTTTTACGATATTATATCACTCAGTCTCACATTTGGTTCTGTTCTCTGTCCTCAAGTGTTGCAGAAAATTTTGTTTTGAAGGGTGTTTTTCCTCTTGATAATTGCTTCCAGCTTTTGCTGAATTGGGAATGGGGCTTAAGAAGCTCTTCGATGTACGGACTGCTTTTGTATTTTTGTAGTGAGTGGGACACAGACAACATAGTTCGGACTTGGCTGAAATTTTTTTTGAGTAATTAATTGAAACAGGCATAGGATCACTACGGTCTAACAATTTACAAATTAAATGAAAAGTTAACTCTTTAGTAGTATCACAACTTTATGTTTATGCCATTTATTATGTATATGTTTTCACGTAGATGTGTGTGTTTTCCCATGGATGATTTTGCATATACATGAATATGATTGTATATTTGTATGTTTGTAACTGTAGGATTGATTATAGTTTCAAAGTTGTCTCTCGATAATTCTAAGTGTGTTTAAACCGTCCCGTTGAATTCCTAAAGTGAAACACTGAAAAATACTACTAAATGTGTACATGTGACTGTGCATTTAAGGCAGAGTACTTGGTAAATTTAAAATCTGAGCTAGTGTAATGCGTGGCACACGGTAGACAGGAAACATTTTGAATGGACAGCTAAGGAAGGAGTGTCTTGTATAAGGAGTCAAAGATCTTGTGTGCATTGTATATGATTTTCCTATACTGTCCTGTAAGAAAGTTGTATTTCACTAAGCCGTACATATTTTGTTCTAATATATGAGACCACAGTTGACATTAAGAAAAGGAAGTTTAATTGTATTTTAATTTTTGAACATTAGCTAAACCTCAGTGGAGAGTTTGAACGTTCTTGGCAATTCAGAGTCCTCAATTTGAAAAAAAAAACTCGCCTTTGAACTGACTCAGAATACAAGACGGTTCATATCCATGTTTCCAAAATAAAAGATAAAAGGGCTCTTAAAATATGTACTCCGCTGTAGCCACCATAATGTTATAATAGCTTTAATTTTGCAGTGTGTTTCTGCTGACGTCATAAACCACAAAATTGACTCCTTTCTGTTCAACCGAAAGTGAATTTACAGCTTTGACCTATCTTCGTGGGATAGGTGGAATTTGTCTTATGGCTGAAGTATAATATTAATATATGCTCTAAGTTTTGTTTTTTTTTATATTCAGTGAATTCTAAAACTGAAAAATTAATGGCTATACAAATCTTCATGATATGTAATCTTAAAATGTAGTAAAAATTATAAAAGAATAGTAATAGGTGAAATACTACCAGTCTATGGTATAAGACTTATTTATATAAAGTTCAAATCTGCATTTTTAGGCAGTAAATAATGTATTAATGTGAGTAATTTTTCTTTTATAAATATGTTTAACTCTTAGTCTACTGTTCCTTGTAGGTATCATTTATTAGTTCCTGATAGCATTATATCAAAGAAGTACAAACTTCCCGTTATAAAATAAATAAGTCAAGTAAGTCATGAGGTATAATGTACAGGATAGGGGAGTATAGTCAATAACATTGTAATAACTTAGTACGGTGACAGATGGTAAGTAGACTTATCGTGGGGATCATTTTGTAGTGTATAAAAATACTGAATCACTATGATGTATGCTTGAAATTAATAGGATATGTTATACTTCAATAATTTTAAAAGCCTAATATCAAAAAATGTAGAAGAACAATACTAAGCTCTGGCATCTAGGAATGCAAACTTGGGTGATAAAATTATATTAGAAAAAGAAAATTCTGCAAGGAAATTATTTTCTTTATAAAAGTAAAGATATGGCAGGAGGGAGAAAGCTGTGATTGGGACATGGCTTCCAAATTGTTGGCAAAGTTCTTTTAACCTGGTGGTGGTTTGCAGGGGTGTTGGACTTAGTATAATTAATTCATGAAGCCATCATTTGTTCTCCTGCTTCTTTTCTGTGTCTGTGTTTTAGTTTACATAAAACTTTTTTTTTCTTTTCTAAAGAAGTCTGTGTGTGTTGTACTATATCAGGTGCTTAGATACAGAACTTAGTATTTGGTGACTGACTTCAGAGGACTGCTTGGGCTGTCCTTTGCAAACAGGATTAGACTTATCCAATCATTACATCTTGTCATATGAATAACATGTTAATTGTGGTAATATTTTTGAGGGAAAACACCAGGCTTTACTAACTTTAAATCCTTTTCAGTTTGTATAGTGTGACAAATAATAGGCAATCAAAATGTTTATTAAACTAAAGGATACTCTTCTGTCATCAAGTATAAAATACACCCTATTTTTCAGAAAATAATGTAACATGACAGCTAAAACTCAAAACTGGCATTAAGGTAATTCCTGACTTATGCATTTTCAGTTTTCTGGAACAGTAATTATTTAGATTTCAGTAAGTTTTGATATTCGTAAGGGTGTTAATGAAAGTATTAAATAAGTTTTTTGTTTGCTTAAGCTTTCTAAAGATGTGGCCAATAGCACCTACAGGGTGAGTATATTTTATTTTAAAAGAAAGCAAATGACATAATGGTGTTGGGAGATGTAAAAATGCTCAGAATCATTGCATTACACACTTGCTTTATGTAAGGGCTTGCTGTTTTAGTTGAAGCTGTTGCTTTTCATTGTTGTGAAGTTAAAGAAGAGATCATATCTGTGCCAAATTCTTCTATCACAGGAACTTTCAGTCATGTTATAAAGGTGATGTTTGTGGCTATGGCTTTGTTATGTGAATATTTACAGGAAGTTTTAGTTAAGATCCTCCATTGTTCAGAACCCTACATCGCTTCGGTCACCTTCAGTTCACATTTAAACAAGTCTGTAATATAAATATAAATTCCTCTTGTGAAGTACAACAGCTTTTCTTTAAAGGAAATAATCTGTTCCTATTAAAGTATCTTGGTCTCTTACTGGTAGTGTGTACAGCAGTTTGTGTGTGACTATGGTAGGGTATGTATTATCTCCTTTCTTCCTCTCAGCTGCTCCAGCGCCACAATTAGGCTGAGTATTGCTCAGCTGCAGCTGCTGGGTGATTATGAACCATCCAGCTCCTGTCTAAACTCGGAGGCAGATTTAGCAAAAGGAGCTATAGTAACACAGAGAGTGAAAGAGAAGAGCTAGTGCTGCCGCCAATATCATTTTAACATGTCTGTGTGCCAGAGAATTGCTGGCTGCAGGAGCACAACTGTTGTCTTGGAACTAGCAGACTTGATGGCAGCATGTCCTGGTCTGGATTGGATTTATCTGATGTTACTCTTTGCAGTCTTGAAGTCCACTTCAGGAAAGAGAGAATCCTGTAATTTCCGAGTACAGGATAATGTATTGATGGACTGAGTTATAAGCCTCTGCAACCAGGAGAGCAGTGCCCTGCAGTTCCCCTTGTCTGAGTGTGTATATGTGACTGTGAGTTCCTGAAGTGCATACCATGCACTCCACGCCACTTTAAGCTGTGTCCCTTAAAAGTGCTTCTGCTTTCACTGTTTTGAGGTGTGGCAGGAGAGCTTGTATGCGGGTTCTTCGGACTCCCAACTTTCTCCTAGGAAGTGGAAGACCTTCACGAGTGATTATTTCTAGAAGTAGCTGCACATGGATATCTCTTGTGCTGCCTGAATTTCATAAGTAGGAACCCTAGATTTTTTTTCCCCTGTTGTTCTTTATTTATTCCTGGGGTAAGAGAAGATGGACATCAACAAATGCAGGTGCAATATCCACTATATATGGCAAATCCCAGACTACAAGATGCCATAGGCAAATTTTGTTGCTTAGTTTATAAACATGCCAAAGAAAGAGCAGCAGCATTTCATCCTTTCTTTTGCTACTACTATCAGAAAATCTGCAGACAATTCCTTTTGCTAATCCTGGCTTTGGAACTTGGTGGTTCAGGGTTTGGCTAATTTGGGTCGGGGGATAGGGAGTATTGGAAGAAGGAGTACTGAAACTTGTATAACCAGAAGGAAAGAAGAGGCACAAAAGACTGTACTCTCAAACATTAACAAGTACACATTGTCATTGTGGCAAATACTTAGCAAGGCATTGGTGTACTGACCCTCTTTGTGTGCAAAACTCTGTTATGAAGACACATTTCTCCTTGCATTGTAATTGTTTCTTTCAGTTGTAAGTATATAAATATACTTGACCTAGTGCTCACTGTCACAAGGAGCAGTTGTATTTGGGTCTTTGAGGACAGTTCCTTGTAGAAAAAATCTTAGTAAATATTGAATTGTATACAAGGATATGGTGTTGTGTATATATTAGACTTTTCTACACACAACATATTTTAATGTACACCTTTATTAAAATTTTATAAAACATCAAACTGACTTCATCCTTTTTCGTTAGCTAATGTTAAAACAAATTCTTTAGATTTTTCCCTCAAGATTTTGTTGTAGAAAATGATTTTATAAAATAGTTCAAACACTTGCAAATGTGAATTTAAAGGTC